AATGTCTCTCTTTTTGATGTAAGAATATTTAGATTTTACCTCTCAGAATTCTGTACCTGGAATTTCTGGTTGCGTTGCTGGTGTTGCTAACGAAACGGTGAGTTGTAAAACGAAATAACACCTGCTAATCCAATTTTCCGCGTCGCGTCGCCGTCGATGCCAAAGTTTCACTTAAAATCGGCACGGAAAGGGCCTGTGGTACAAGAGGCATAATCTCATTAGTACGAGAACTAACTTCTTGTAATTTTCCGAAGCATCTTCAGAGCACAGTAAACTGACTGGAAAGTAATTCTCTCGGGCTTTACAAACGTAAAATTTTGCACTTAATACCTAGAAAAGCGCATAAAAGGTTTAACAAACTCGTTCATAGAAATATGGTAATTTTAATCCTCGGAGTTACGACGAAAACTGCATCCAGATTAAGGAAATTAAAAATTAAGTTATTCATTTCTGCATTTTATACCGTTTTATCCTAGTCACTGCCCATAACTTTGCTCTAAAATTCTATTGTCCATTTCTTCTTTTATAAGAAGCCAATGTCGCGCTCGCAAGGATCTAAAGCAGCTTAAACCACTGCACTTTAGTGCAATAAAATAAACCGGCCAAACCAGATTTCAGGATAAACTCGATTATCCGAAGAGCAACTGGATGAACCAGTTTAGCCTAGTATAAACTGGTTTCTTCCGAACATGTTACCGTTCCGATTTCACGATAAACTCATTTGTTTAAGCCAAAATAATCCGAAGAATGAATCAGTTTAGGATTGTTGTCGGTCAAATCCGATTTCCGGATCAACTTCTGTATATAAAATTATAGGTACTATCCTGCAAGCAGTATGCTAGTTGTTTATAATTGAGTAAAGAATTCGCAGCATCGAGTATTCAAATGATTAAATTCAATTTAATTAATGAGGAGCGAATGCATATCGAAACCACAAAAAGATTTTTGAACTCTTGCATATGACGACTCTATTTTTCACTGTGGCATAGCTTTTCAGTTGACTGTTTGCTAATTTAAAAGCCGAAAGGTCTTTGGTTCCATTCAAAACTTTTTTAAACGGCCAACTGCATATGTCGCCGTTATTAGTTCTGAAACTTGCAGAAACGTACATCTAGTTGGCAGTGTTTAGTTGATATATGGATTCTTTTTTTTTTTTTTGAGTGCATCTTTTGTCATCCGTATCAACCGGGTGACTGGATTGCGCCATGTGTTTCGATATAGCTATACTTCTCCCCCTGCCATACCCGTTTTCAACTCCCACCGCCGTTTTCTACCCCTTCAACAGCGTCAATTAAAAGTTGAATGTGCTGCAAGTGGCTGTTGAATTCGTTCGATTTATTCACTAAGTTTAGATCTACCGCACACAGTGCAAAACGAATTTCAGTTCGGATTGTGCGAACGTACGCCATGTTTGTAGTTAATTAATTAACAAACTGAAATTTAAACAACCTCCATGTTATTATTACCGGTCGTGATGAAGAGACCGAGGACCAGGCACAACCGCGATAACAAAACCAACTGTCAGGAACAGTAACGCATCGACGATGATGAAAACTCGCATTTAAAACGAACGTTCTCTAATATATGTACGTATACCTTGTTAATTATAATAATTTGGAGCATTAAAGAATCCACAACTCATTTAAATTTAACGGAACTACGTATTCGAGATGGAGATCCGGAGCTATTTTAGTGAAGGTGAATGTATTCGTAAAGACGTTCGATTTAACGTTATAAAAATTAGGATTTTGTAGAATTCATCCGACTTAAAAGATATTACCGAAAGAAAACAGTAAAAAAAAGCATTTTTGCCTTGTAGATAAGATCAGTGTGACTGGGATAGCTGATAATACAAGATTCTGGACGTAATTTATTGTTTAATTATTTTTTTCAGGATAACGCTCAAGAACTGTACAACTAATGTAACGTTTCGTTTTTGACCGCCACCCTGGAAAAATCAATTGCCTATTTTAACTATGGTAAAAGTTTACAAAGAACAGGACGGTTTAAATATCTATCGATGTTCTTCAATCATCATTTATCCTTTATGTGTTTATTTACATTTACTTGTGACCTAGAGCAGTGGTTCTCAATTTTCCTTTTCTACGTAACCCTTTCTCACAGACTCTTCTTTGGCGGAAATGTCCTATCCTCCTATCTGGCATCTAGGTATCTTTCTTTCACAACAATAGCGGTACTAGTCCCTAATATAAAATATGTCATTAAAGTTTGCCCTTTTATTACTGGTTTGGTCATGTAAAACATGGTATTCGTCAGTCCTAAGACACACCACCACTCCTTCCTATCCTGAGCATTTCCTTAAAACTAGAACATCCTACATCCTTAACTATTTGTGAACAGCAATCTAATCTAGGTCTACCTTTACTCCTCCTAACTCCTATTTCTGCCTCTAATATGTCTCTGACTAGACCTTCATGCCTGAGAAGGTGTCCTACCAACCTATCTTGTCTATTTTTTTTTAACTTCCATGGAGTCCTCTGTTCTCCTGTTCTTTCTAATACCTCATCATTTCTAACCTTCTCTATCCACAGTATCCTCATCATTCGCCTGTAACACCACATTTCGAACGCTTCTAACCTATTCTTTTCCGCCGCTCCCACTGTCCATGTTTCGCACCCGTACAACGCCGTGCTTCAAACATACACCTTTAACAATCTTTTTCGAATTTCTAAATTAACCATTCGCGAGCATGGAAGTGACTTCTTTTTATTGAAGGCGATTCGATCCTGCACTATCCTCTGCTTTATATCCCTACTACTCGTTCAGTCCTGACTTATTTGACTTTCTAGATACCTAAAATCAGCCATTTCTTCTAATCATTCGTCTCCTATCTTTACATTCGCTTACGATTAAATACATAATGGTTCCAGAATTTAATAAATTTCTATTAGGATAAAAAACGGAACCCCTGTGACCCTTCCACAGAACACCATTTGGGTACCGCTGACTTAGAGTAAGAAGTCTAGCAGTTTTCAACCGTTCACCCTGATCGACAGTCAGATTTGTCGTGCTACTCTTTTTTTTTCACGAGATAGATTCCATAATCAACCCCAGTAGTATTTTCAAAACAAAAAAGCCAGATTTTTCAGATTGGCTGCGAGATAGGCCTACATCCCGATGTTTAACTAAACAAGCTTCCGAATTTGCCCTGGGTTTCTACCTTTAATTACATCCCGGCATCTATTCCAGGAACAATCAAGTAATAGGGTATTTCCAACCTCATTTAACTTTATCACAGTCATAAAGAAAAGTGGAAAACAGCGGTTCAGGAAATAGGCCTGAATTTATCGTTTCTTGGCTGTACAATACTAAAGCCAATTGTCTGTAATTTATTTTTGGTTCACTTTTCCCAAACGATACCTACTACACGTTAAATAAACGATTTCGTCCAATGCGGCACGCCATTAGAAACGAAGAAAAAAAAATTGAAATGAAAATTGGGATCCGTCAAATGGGCATACACCATCTGGTGGCTAAATTTATAACTCGAATGAGGGAAAAATTTACATAGGAACTGTGCACGCAAATTGTAAATTGTTTATTAAAATAATAAAACACACAAGTATTTTGAGGTTAAGAACCTACCTGCTGCAATACAACAAAGTTGCAATAATGTGTTTGCAACGTTCTTTTAAATCGGCTTTCCAGGTGCAAGTCATTGATATGATATTGCTTAAATCACCCAGAATCACTTCACCAATTATATAACGTGAATCACTTTTTAAATCTCATGTTTGTAAAAAGTAGGTAGTAAACTTGACCGAATTTGTTATTTGCGAATTTTATAATGTGATTGGCATTAAAAACACGCTCACCTTTAACAAAATTTCCTTTCCGAGGTTTTGTGTCAGCCCAATCACATATTGTGTCAATACTTATCATTTTATCGTAATTTAAAAACTTGGAAATTGCACGGTACACTATAGGAACTACGATAGATTTTCCCTAATCGGCGCCATGTTTTTAGGCTCCTCCCATTTGACGGATACCAATAGCATATAAAAAGTTAAAACTTACTTTCCACAACAAGAAGAAAATACGACCCATAAACTTATTAATAGGTATGTGCTCCACCGGTACAACCATTTTACCGATAAGTAATTTTTGTTTGTTTTTCGATTCTGTATGAGAATTTGTTTGGTCTCTCCAACTATAATCTCGATTTATTAATTTTTAATAATAGAACAGTATCATCACCGTTATTGCATATCTACCAAAAGGTTATCTCTGCGTATTTTTCAAATATGCACATTTTACATTCAAACATAAACAATTTGGTGAAAAATTTTTGAATGATTGTTAATAATCTATTTATGTATCTATAAAAATTAGTTCGAATTTGTTTGAATTTGAATTGTAATAATAATCTCTATCTTGGTCCAGGGCTTAAATAGTCCACACCAAAATAGGACACGCCTCTAAGTAAAACAGACCCCTTGGTCAATGCTATGCACCCTTCAGGTACCCAGAGAAAGTCCGGCGTGACGTAGTTGGGAACTCGGACTTTCCCAACATTTGGTACCTACCTGAAGGGTGTAATAAAGAGGCCCAAAGCTGTTTGTAACACAAAATTTGAAGTTATATACAAAATAAATACAAACTAAAAACATTATAAAAAAATATATACAAATATTGAACACATCGACACCGAACAGCTGTTGTTTCAGATAACTGATAGTGGGGAAAAATTGAGAATGAATTTTTAAATTAATATTTAATATAAACCACTAGGAATTTCAATGTGTTTTGAATAAATATATGTGTGTAAATTTGTCATATTAGTTTCCCGTTACCTTTCACGCCTCCCCTCCTCATGGTACGCCACCCGTATTATATAATACTTAAGATAAAATAGATTATCGAACGTTACTTATAACACATGTTTTTGTTTGGTTTATTACTGTGCTGTAGGTCTGATTATGTAAAACGAAATATAATTGGAGAAACTTCGCTATATATATAAGATAAACTGCAAGTGCACTTTCATTATTATCTTAGCAACTGCAGTGCATGTCATAATTAGCAGTGAGTTATAAATTATACAAATATATGTATGTTTTTCCTGAAATATATTTATACTTCCTTACACATTACCAGCGTTTGCATTAGAAAGCATGGTAAGTTATTTATCGTTATTTTTTTATATTAAATGTGCCAATTTCTGCGCGATATTGTAGGCGTTTGAGAAACACGATGTTGTACCCGATGTCGTTGATAAAGCACCCGCAAAGGTTCTGGAAATAACATATCCAACCGGTGCTAAGGTACAGGGGGGAAATATTTTAACTCCTACACAAGTAAAAGATCAACCGTCTGTGAAATGGCAAGCTGATAAAAATGAATATTATTTGCTTTGTATGACGGATCCCGATAATCTAAGTCGAAAAGAGCCAACACTGAGAGAATGGCACCATTGGCTAGTCGGAAACATTCCCGGCAATGATATTTCGAAAGGAGAAGTTTTAACCGAATTTCTCGGTTCTGGTCCTCGACCCGGAACTGGTTTACATCGTTACGTGTTTTTGCTCTACAAGCAACCAGGAAAATTGAACTTTACCGAGAAAAGAATAACAAACAGGTCTGCTGAAGGAAGAGAAAATTTTTCAAGTCGCAATTTTGCTAAAAAATACAATTTAGGTGATCCTGTTGCTGGAAACTTGTACCAAGCCGAATGGGATCAATATGTCCCCCTTTTATATAAACAACTTGGAGAATAACTTGATATAGGTACTTGTAAATTTCATTCACTTAAAAATGTTTAATATTTAATGAACTGTCTAGCAATATTTTTATATTTTGTATTGTGAATCCCAGCAAAGAATAAATACTAGAAGTGCTACTCTCCATTTCAACCCTCAGTTTGGGTAATATTAAATAAACTTCAAGGCAATTAAGGGTTAAAAAGTTTTTATTTTTAAAGAATCAACACCGACGTTTCGCCTCTATTTGGGTGCTTCATTAGTTATGGAATATTTTCTTACTTAACTAAAGAACCTACCTTGAAAAAGGCTGCCAAATAGAGGCGAAACGACAATGTTGGTAATTCAAAAATAGAAACTTTCCAACCTTTAACTACCTTGAACATTATTTAATATTACTAAAAGTGGTAGTTTTTATTTTTTTTTTGCATGAATTTGAGGTGTTATGCTACTTTAAAAATGTCTTTACTAGTTATAAAACTTGAAACGAAAAAGTTTTATTAACGAACATCAAGCGGCCCATAAAACAGAATACAATTAAATCGAAAAGGCAAAAATACTAGCATGTCATATTGTCCGCTCAATAAAAACGCGCTCACCTTCAACGAAATTTCCTTTCCGAGGCTTTGTGTCAGCCCAATCACATATTGTGTCAATACAATCATTTTATCGTAATTTAAAAACTTGGAAATTGCACGGTACACTATAGGAACTACGATAGATTTTCCCTAATCGGCGCCATGTTTTTAGGCTCCTCCCATTTGACGGATACCAATAGCATATAAAAAGTTAAAACTTACTTTCCACAACAAGAAGAAAATACGACCCATAAACTTATTAATAGGTATGTGCTCCACCGGTACAACCATTTTACCGATAAGTAATTTTTGTTTGTTTTTCGATTCTGTATGAGAATTTGTTTGGTCTCTCCAACTATAATCTCGATTTATTAATTTTTAATAATAGAACAGTATCATCACCGTTATTGCATATCTACCAAAAGGTTATCTCTGCGTATTTTTCAAATATGCACATTTTACATTCAAACATAAACAATTTGGTGAAAAATTTTTGAATGATTGTTAATAATCTATTTATGTATCTATAAAAATTAGTTCGAATTTGTTTGAATTTGAATTGTAATAATAATCTCTATCTTGGTCCAGGGCTTAAATAGTCCACACCAAAATAGGACACGCCTCTAAGTAAAACAGACCCCTTGGTCAATGCTATGCACCCTTCAGGTACCCAGAGAAAGTCCGGCGTGACGTAGTTGGGAACTCGGACTTTCCCAATATTTGGTACCTACCTGAAGGGTGTAATAAAGAGGCCCAAAGCTGTTTGTAACACAAAATTTGAAGTTATATACAAAATAAATACAAACTAAAAACATTATAAAAAATATATACAAATATTGAACACATCGACACCGAACAGCTGTTGTTTCAGATAACTGATAGTGGGGAAAAATTGAGAATGAATTTTTAAATTAATATTTAATATAAACCACTAGGAATTTCAATGTGTTTTGAATAAATATATGTGTGTAAATTTGTCATATTAGTTTCCCGTTACCTTTCACGCCTCCCCTCCTCATGGTACGCCACCCGTATTATATAATACTTAAGATAAAATAGATTATCGAACGTTACTTATAACACATGTTTTTGTTTGGTTTATTACTGTGCTGTAGGTCTGATTATGTAAAACGAAATATAATTGGAGAAACTTCGCTATATATATAAGATAAACTGCAAGTGCACTTTCATTATTATCTTAGCAACTGCAGTGCATGTCATAATTAGCAGTGAGTTATAAATTATACAAATATATGTATGTTTTTCCTGAAATATATTTATACTTCCTTACACATTACCAGCGTTTGCATTAGAAAGCATGGTAAGTTATTTATCGTTATTTTTTTATATTAAATGTGCCAATTTCTGCGCGATATTGTAGGCGTTTGAGAAACACGATGTTGTACCCGATGTCGTTGATAAAGCACCCGCAAAGGTTCTGGAAATAACATATCCAACCGGTGCTAAGGTACAGGGGGGAAATATTTTAACTCCTACACAAGTAAAAGATCAACCGTCTGTGAAATGGCAAGCTGATAAAAATGAATATTATTTGCTTTGTATGACGGATCCCGATAATCTAAGTCGAAAAGAGCCAACACTGAGAGAATGGCACCATTGGCTAGTCGGAAACATTCCCGGCAATGATATTTCGAAAGGAGAAGTTTTAACCGAATTTCTCGGTTCTGGTCCTCGACCCGGAACTGGTTTACATCGTTACGTGTTTTTGCTCTACAAGCAACCAGGAAAATTGAACTTTACCGAGAAAAGAATAACAAACAGGTCTGCTGAAGGAAGAGAAAATTTTTCAAGTCGCAATTTTGCTAAAAAATACAATTTAGGTGATCCTGTTGCTGGAAACTTGTACCAAGCCGAATGGGATCAATATGTCCCCCTTTTATATAAACAACTTGGAGAATAACTTGATATAGGTACTTGTAAATTTCATTCACTTAAAAATGTTTAATATTTAATGAACTGTCTAGCAATATTTTTATATTTTGTATTGTGAATCCCAGCAAAGAATAAATACTAGAAGTGCTACTCTCCATTTCAACCCTCAGTTTGGGTAATATTAAATAAACTTCAAGGCAATTAAGGGTTAAAAAGTTTTTATTTTTAAAGAATCAACACCGACGTTTCGCCTCTATTTGGGTGCTTCATTAGTTATGGAATATTTTCTTACTTAACTAAAGAACCTACCTTGAAAAAGGCTGCCAAATAGAGGCGAAACGACAATGTTGGTAATTCAAAAATAGAAACTTTCCAACCTTTAACTACCTTGAACATTATTTAATATTACTAAAAGTGGTAGTTTTTATTTTTTTTTTGCATGAATTTGAGGTGTTATGCTACTTTAAAAATGTCTTTACTAGTTATAAAACTTGAAACGAAAAAGTTTTATTAACGAACATCAAGCGGCCCATAAAACAGAATACAATTAAATCGAAAAGGCAAAAATACTAGCATGTCATATTGTCCGCTCAATAAGACAAAAATACAATGTAATTTATAACGAAGATTTAAGAGTAAAACTCGAATAAGTTGAATTAAGTTGAGAACGTGATCTACGGATCCAAAACATAAAATTTTACGAACTGTAAAATGTTTACGATGGCATTCGTCCACACTTAATTGAAAAGTTGCTTTATATGTGATGTTCCATAATATTTTCGTTCGGGAGGTCAACATAATTTAGATATAGCTTAACGCAACAAATATAACATTCGATGTTATCATAAACTAGAATGAAAAGTAGAGTAATTAATTTAATTTTTGAGGNTATTATCATCACCTAACGTAGATGTATTTGTATCATAAACTAGAATGAAAAGTAGAGTAATTAATTTAATTTTTGAGGAAATCTAAAAGGAGTTTTTTAAAACTTGATATACAAATATATTCCTAAATTTCATTTATACCTACTTAAGAGAATAAAGTTAAGGTAAGTTTGGTTCAATAATAGACTGTAAAGATCCTTGCAAATAAATAATTAACCCCTTTTATGCCCCTGAGACGTTTTCTATTGTAGTGGTCTAAATATAATCTGATAAAGGATTATCCAAATGCATACCTTTATGGAAAGATTCATTTAGGGAACGATAAAAAGTGTAAGATTTTCGCACTCTCAATAAAAAAGAAAGAGAACTGGTGATTATTTCGTCATTGATGAAAAGAATATAACTCTATTAAATATCCTCAAGCCGGCTCTTCAGTCATTAAAACATTAGTCTCTCAATATTCGCTTTAATGTTAGTCGTAATCAAATTTAACTTTACGATGACAACGATAATGACCAAGCGAAGTCGTAAACATGACTAACTGGTGGTTTAAATTAATAATTACGACTCCAAGGTATCGTGATATTGTTGTTGCTTTGTATGTAGTTGTTGACGTTGTTGTTACTATCCTGTATCTAACAATGAGTAGGAATGTTTCAAAAAATTTGTTGATTTGTTGTCTGTTTTGAAAGCAGACAATTACAAAATCGACTAAAGCCTACGAATTTCAAAATAAATTGCCAAAATCAGCCCATTTTGGTCTTGGTATCTGTAAGTAAGGTAAAGTAAGTTGAAGATCTAGATTTAATTGACCAAGATCAAAAAAGGAGAAGAATACCAGACTATACGAGACCAAAGGTCCTGCTGTTTTGGTCTTGGCATCTTTAAGCAAGATGAAGATCTAGATTTAATTGACCAAGATCAAAAAAGGAGAACAATACCAGACTATGCGAGACCAAAGGTCCTGCTGTTTTGGTCTTTGAATTTTTAAGCAACATGAAGATCTAGATTTAATTGACCAAGATCAAAAAAGCAACAAAACAATATCAGTCTGTGCGAGACCAAATAGGTAATTAACCACAATAAAATCAAAAAAACAATCTACTAATTAACCCTTTTTTTCACAGTATCTACATAAAATAAGTCATAAAAAAAAACCAAGACTGTACTATGTACATATAAAAAACATAACAAGAATCGAACTACTGTTTATTTCATAAATCGTATGAACCAGAACAAATCCTCTGTTTACCATAAAAAAATTGGTGTTCGAAGTGCACGAAGACGTAACCCATTGATAGACCACACACTCACACACACACATACGGACACATACCTATATACATATACGTGCATGGGACATCAATATTCATCTCGTGTTCATAATGTACCCTTTGTGCCTGTAAAAATAACGATCTAATACAGAAGCTCTTTTGAAATCATGAGAGCACTTTTATGAAATGAATTACGATCTAGTAAATGTTAAGGGAAGCTAATAGACAGGAAGTTTAACGACGCGACACAACGTAAAAACACTAGTATAGTGTACGGATAATCATAAAAAGTGAATTATTTTTTCGTTCGTATACATCTATTTATAGATATGCAAAACCACAAAACATTCCTTTATGATCTTTGGAATATAATAGATGGTAAAATTTAATTGCTCATTCATATTACGATATGAATTTAGATTTTCAGATTTAACTACGGTATGAACTAGGGTACTAACGTTTTGTTTTGTTACAAAGATCTATTATTATCATCACCTAACGTAGATGTATTTG